AGTTGTTGTTGAAGGTCTCTGCATCTCGGAACTGGTCTCTGCACCAACTTGACGTATCCAACGCTTTTTTTAATGGTGATTTGGATGAAGAAATATTTATGAAATTACTTGAAGGATATGCTGCAAGACAAGGGGACTCTTTGCCTAAGAATGTTGTCTTACGTCTCAAGAAATCTATCTATAGAGTTAAACAAGCATCACGTCAATGGTTTTTGAAGTTCTCTGCAGTTTTGTTGAGGTTTATGTTTGAAAAGGGCACCGGTGATCATACTCTGTTTGTCAAACGCTGTGCGGGTGGTAACTTCATGGCAATATTAGTTTATGTTGATGATATAATCGTTGCTAGTACGGGTGTTGCTGATTCTGCGCAGTTCACCAAGGATCTTTCCGAATGCTTTAAGTTATGGGATCTCGGACCTTTGAAATATTTTTTGGGTTTGGAGATTGCTCGTAACAAGACTGGTATTTCGATATGACAACGAAAGTATGCATTGGAGCTACTTACTTCGGTTGGCATGTTAGGCTGCAAGCCTTCCTCTACTTATATGGTTTTTAATCTGAAACTCTCTAAGGAGGATCGTGATTTGCTTTCGGATAGAGAAATGTACGCAATCTTGTGGGCAGATTGATGTACTTGACTTTCACGAGGCCTGATACCTTTGCGGTGAACAAACTCTGTCATTACTCCTCTGCTCCCCGATCCTCTCACCTTAAGGCTGTCTATAAGGTTCTCCAATATATCAAAGGAACTGTTGGCCAGGGTCTGTTTTACTCAGCTGATTCGGATCTCACATTGAAGGGGTTCGCTGATTCTGATTGGGTTTCATGTCCGGATAGTCACCGTTTTACTACTGGTTTCTGTATGTTTCTTGGTTCCTCCCTCATATCCTGGAAATCTAAGAAACAGGACATTGTCTCTTGCTCCTCCGCAAAGGCAGAATATCGAGCATTGAACTTGGCTTCTAAAGAAATGGTTTGGCTCAAGAAACTTCTTACTGATCTTCAGGTACCTTCTGTTAACACTCCCATCCTGTTTTCAGATAGTACTGTAGCTATTTATATTATCACCAATCCAGTGTTTCATGAAAGAACTAAACACATAGAAACGGATTGTCACTATGTGCATGAGAGACTTGATCGAGGGATAATCAAAACTCTTCACATTCCCACTGAAGATCAGATTGCAGATATTCTCACTAAACCTTTGTTCCCTTCTCAGTTTGAACATCTCAAATCCAAGATGAGTCTTTATAATATCTTCTGCAGCTCATCTTGAGGAAGACTATTAGAGAATATCAGTTTATAATTCAGTTTAGGTTGATTAGATTAATCCAACTTACTTTTACTGGTTTAGTTAAATCAATTATACAACATTAGTATAAATACGTTTGTACATGCACACTTTTCTGATGAGATGAATAAATATCTTTTCCAATAAACTTCTTCTCTCTCATTCATCTCTCTTTCGTAATAAAAATAAGAGAAACCCTTTGAAGGCAAACCAAAATGCAGAAACGTGTGGGTATGATTAAAACGATCTGAAGATTTATTTTCTTTTGTCTTTTATCTTTTTGGTGTCGTTGTTGGAGAAGTGAGATATCTTTGTTAGTTAGAACTCAGAGGCAACACTCTCCCTCTCCGTTATGCTCGATTCTATTTGATCTAATGAAGAACCTTAACGATGATAAAATATCTAAATATTGGTTTGACATGTCGAACCGGTTGGTTCGGTTCGGTTTGAATCGTTATTTTCCGGTTTTTTGGAGGAGGGTTTATGACGAATTCTCTCTGCCACACTCTCAGGCTTCTGTTGTTCACGCTCGCTCTGTCATTTTTTGGTTTAGATGTACATCTTCATCCTCTAACTGTTAATTATCTCTGATCTTCTTCAGCTTGATTTTGAATTGGTTTCTTCTAATGGTTTAAGATGGATCGTAGCATTGTCTCCAGTAGCGGAGATCGATCTCAGACAACTTTCCCTGGTAAATTTTCATCTTCTAATCAACCGATCTCACTTACACTGATTGATTATGTCGCCGTATATATTAGGTTTTAGTGTTGGAAATGGTGGAATTTTGGCTCTGAAGTTTTAAAATTTTGTGTTTTGCTTATAACTCCTATGTGTATTGACGTATTGTGTTTCTCATCACAGCATTGCATATTCAATTGAAATTGATTGACAAGTGCAAGAACAGGATAACTGGTCTTGTTCTGTAAGTTAGAAAATGCTGTTTGAGTTTTGATCAACTCAAAGAATTTAACAATATCTTCTGATACTTTCCTATTTCCTTTAATGGTTATCTTGTGATCGAGACAGTTATCTAAGTAAAGTGAACCAATGTATTGTGATATCTTCTACTCTAAATAAAACCAATTTCGTAGCAAAATGTTACATTTTCTATTGGTTGGTCATGTTTATGTTTACGTGTAGATGCATTGGCATTGAAGGATATCAATCATCCTATCAAGAAGCCGATCATTGGTTGTGGCACAATCTGTGTTAAACAAGATGATCCATGCGACTTCTTGCGTGTCCTTTATGGTATGGTTGCAAAACACATCTTAATGCATACCAATATTGTCTTTTCCAGTTAATGTGATTAAGAGTAAAAAATTGTTTTCATATGTTGTTTGCAGAGAGCCTGATCGCAGGAGGGATAGCTGGTCTTGTTGTAGAAGCTGCTCTATACCCAATTGATACAATCAAAACTCGAGTACAGGTATGTTTCTCTTCAATTCACTTTGTGTTATGATTCCAACATAAGTTCCTTTTTACAGTAAAGTAATAATATAGCATATATGTGTTCTTAATGTTTCTTTACTCACATTGAGAAGCCAATGTTTGGCTTACAGAGACTAAATATGTTGGGTTGACATGTTTAGGTGGCTAGAGATGGAGGAAAGATAATATGGAAGGGGCTATACTCTGGTCTTGGTGGAAACCTTGCTGGTGTCTTACCGTAAGTACTTGTAGTCAAAAAGAAAAGTAAGAAAAAGACATGAAAGCACGTTGAAACGCTCTTATGAAATAACGGTTTTACTTCATGTGCAGTGCTTCGGCCTTATTTTTCGGTGTATATGAACCAACCAAACAGAAGCTGCTGGAGGTTTTACCGGAAAAGTTTAGTGCGGTTGCACATTTGGTATGTATAAACTTAATATCTAGATAACGAATCAAGATTAGTTTGTCTGCATTAGTCTTGCTACCATATAGTTTTTAAACTTACTGGTTTGAGATATAGGCCCTTAGAATGTAATATGATCTGTTAAAAGAAAGGATATGTCTTAGCGAGTTAATATAAGCTTAATCAGGCTGCAGGTGCATTAGGAGGTGCTGTTTCATCTATTGTTCGTGTACCAACAGAAGTAAGCTTCTTTCTTCTTGTTTATTTGATTTAAATGTTCTGTATATACTTGTAAAGGCTAATGGAAACTTGATCAGGTTGTTAAACAGAGGATGCAAACTGGACAATTTGCTTCAGCCCCTGACGCTGTTCGCCTTATTATAGCCAAGGAAGGCTTTGGAGGCATGTATGCGGTAATAACTGTTACTTCTTGATTTATGATTCTTGTGTTTTACTATTTGCTTTGGAGAGATGAACAAACAAAACTAAAGCTCATGGGATGTTTTCATCTTATCTTTATGATTATACAGGGTTTTGGATCTTTCTTGTTGCGAGATTTGCCTTTTGACGCGCTTCAGTTTTGTGTATATGAGCAATTACGGATTGGATACAAGTTGGCTGTAAGTTTCTTCTTGCTACATTGATAAGTGAAAGAACTATCCTCTTTTGTTGGCTAATGACAGTGAGATATCTCACTCCAACATTGTTTAGAACAGGCGAGAAGAGATCTAAATGATCCAGAGAACGCTATGCTTGGTGCCTTTGCCGGTGCTGTCACTGGAGTTTTGACCACTCCTCTAGATGTAATCAAAACCAGATTAATGGTTCAGGTATGTCAGACCAATAATGAATACACAAATACACAACATGTTCTTCTTGTATGAAGATCACTTCACAGGAGAATTAAGAAGCTTCAGTAATATAGCACGGTTTTGAATTCTTGGCAGGGCGCAGGAAATCAGTATAAAGGGGTTTCAGATTGCATTAAGACTATATTAAGAGAAGAAGGGTCATCAGCTTTGTGGAAGGTGAATCAATTTCTGCACTTACCACATTCATTTTTTTTTTTGAGGCATTGATCATGTGTTTGTGCAAAGTTGTTGAAAAGTCTGTGACTTTCTGTATAACACAGGGAATGGGTCCAAGGGTACTGTGGATAGGAATTGGTGGTTCAATTTTCTTTGGAGTTTTGGAAAAGGCAAAGCAGGTTCTTTCAGAGAGAAGCCAAAGAGTCCACAAGGCTTAAACAATTAGATTCTACTTGTGTGTCTACATCATTCTTGTCTCTTTGATGTTTTTGTGAAGGTGTGAATCACTGAAGTATTTAGATTCTTTACGTATGTTCTTCTTTGACCCTCTTTTGTCAATTTATTATATTTACATGAAGTAGTAGCAAATTTTTGAAAAAGTCAGACTGGATAGTTACTTAAAGTTAAACATCAACTTAACGTGGACGTTATAACTGATTAAGTTGCGTAATAAACTATACGTTATAACTTATAAAATTAATGCATGCTCCAATGGTGAGATACTCTCCAAAGTATCTCATCTACACAATATTAATATTTTTAATGTAATATTTTTATATAATTAAATTTTTCTTTGTAAAAATAAATTGAGCCAATAATAGAAGAATAAATGTAGGAATGAGTATCTAAGAGTATCTATTTGAGAAATCTTGAGATACTTTTATCTTTCTTTCTTTTCTCTTTTGAATTTTTTATTAATACTTTATTAAGATACTCTGAATGAAATACTTTCGAGGTGCTCAACTTCTTTTTATACTGTTCAAAAATATCTAAAACCACCTCCATCGAAGGTTTTTAAACACAATCTCTTAAAAAAAATATTAATAAAATAATAAAAATTAAGAACGAGACATTAAAAGTGTTTCTTACCATTTTAACAAACTCTTCTTACCATTTTAACAAACTCTTGTACATGTGCCTCTTTTATAACTGGTTTAAATCTTTTTATAATTTAAAAATTAATATTTTTTTTTTTATTAAATACTCTCACGGAGTTTTAACAGCCGGAGATGCTGTAAGGCTCTCTCTCTGGTCATTGTCACTGGACAGATCTGCAACGTGCTTTTAATTCAATTTCTATCAAATGCTATGAGCATGTGATCCGAAAGTTTTCTAATAAATGAATGATATTGAGATGTGACGGAAATTCAACCACCAATTCCTACTAAAAAAAAAAAAATTATAGAGTATTTAACATTTTTTGTTAATTCTTTGTAATTCTTTTTGGTTAAATTGATTCCTTTGTAATAAAATCCCCACCCAATACTACTTGTTACTAGTCTGGAATCTCTAGTTGTGATATTTATACATGACTTGAGCACACAAGAATTTGAAGCTTAAGTTTCTTTTTTGCAGGTTTAAGTAAAGACAATGGAGAAGAATCTCCTTGTCACAGTTTCGATCGTCTTGAATCTCGTATTCATCATTCATATACTTTACAATAAATCAACCACGTGGAATCCGACTTGGACCAACAGAGCCGCCGTGGAAGCAGAGGAAGTAGCCTCTGTTTCATGCTCAGGCCATGGAAGAGCTTACGTGGACGGTCTTGATGTTCTTGACGGCAACAAACCTCCTTGTGAGTGCAACAACTGCTACACAGGCAAAGATTGCTCCTTTCTTCTCCCGGATTGTCCTGTAGATGCTAATTCGTATGCAAGATCTCTCCCTTTTCGATCATTAAGACTAAACAAGTCTATAAAGTTAACAATTTCTTGTTTTGATGGGTTTTGAAGTGGAGATCCTTTGTTCTTGGAGCCTTTCTGGATGCGAAAAGCAGAGAAAAGCTCTGTTTTGGTCTCGGGATGGCACAGGATGAGTTATCTTTATCAAGATGGGACATATGTCTCTGAAGAGCTCGAGAAGGTCATTAGAAAACTGCACAGTGTAGTGGGAAACGCTGTTACAGATAACAGATTTGTAATATTTGGAAGTGGATCCACACAGTTGCTTGCAGCTGCTGCTCATGCCTTGTCTTTAACAAACTCATCATATTCATCACCTACAAGACTTTTGGCTTCTGTTCCGTTTTATGCTGTAAGTATCGCTCTGTTTATGTCTTTATGTGTAAACAAACTTATTGGTGTGGTTCTTTATCAGTCTATTGTGTGTAGATGTATAAGGAGCAAGCAGAGTTCTTTAATTCTAGATATCTCAAGTTTGAAGGAGATGCGTCTGTGTGGAAGAAGAGTAAAGGCAATGATAATATCACACAAGTTATAGAAGTAGTAACATCTCCAAATAATCCAGATGGGAAGCTGAAAAGAGCTGTTCTTGATGGTCCTAATGTCAGAACCATTCATGATTATGCATATTACTGGCCTTATTTCTCACCTATAACTGTTCCAGCTGATGAAGATTTGAGTTTATTTAGTCTCTCCAAGGCTACAGGTCATGCTGGCTCTAGATTCGGGTAAACAAAAAGATATAGAAAATGTATCAAAAAGATTTGGATTGGTCACAAACAACTCACAAGTTTTGTTCTTGATGCAGATGGGGATTGGTAAAAGACAAAGCTGTTTATGAGAAAATGAAAAGATATATACAATTAAGTAGTTTGGGAGTTTCTCGGACCACACAGCTTTATGTTCTTCAGTTGCTTAAAGTAGTGGTTAGTGATGGAGGCGATGAGATTTTCCATTTTGGTTATGAAACTTTAAAGAAAAGATGGGATACGCTGAACAAGATCTTTTCCATGTCCACACGTTTCTCGCTTCAGAGAATCAAACCTGAGTACTGCAACTATTTCAAGAAAGTCAGAGACTTTACTCCTTGTAAGTTTTTTACTTCTAGTGCAAGAAAGCTAAGACTTTGTTCTGTTTTGACTTGTTTGATTGTTCATTTGAAAGCGTATGCGTGGGTGAAGTGTGAGAGATCAGCGGACACGAACTGCTATGAGATTTTCAGAGAGGCGAAGATAACTGGTCGTGATGGCAAAGTGTTTGGATCAGAGGGAAGTTTTGTGCGATTGAGTCTCATTAGATCACAAGACGACTTTGATCACCTTATTGATATGTTGAAGAAGTTAGTCTCCCACGAAGTTGTAGGAGCTGATTCCATCTGAAAACTTGATGTTGTGATCAAATGTTTTCAATTCATTCATGTAAAACAAGAATTTGTACCATTATATTTACCGTTTGGAACCGTTCTACGAAATCTCAATATTTTTGATATAGTAAAGTTTTGTCATGATGACTACGTAAAAGAAGACTGAAAAATACAAAAAAAAAAAAATTGTACAAATATATCGTTTCAAGTCATCCGAAGATTGTCGAGTTATACAATTTGTTGTAAATCAATACAACAATAACCCCTAAGTCTCTCCATGTGTTGACAACTCAGTTTTTTGTGTTAAATACAACAATAACCCATAAGTCTCTCCATATGTTGACAACTCAGCTTTTTGTGTTATTAGAAGCTGACACATCAGCAAAATACTGAACTAATTAAAACATTTCATTAATACACTTTATCTCAATATTTTAACACATAGGCAAATTTTTTTTCTTTTTATCATCAAAATTTTTCATTAATAAGACCCAATATAGACAATACATAGAAATTGAAGCCCAATATTATTATTTTAGGATAACTGCAAAATTAACTCTCATTATATCGATGACAAAAATTAAAATATACTATATTTAATAATGTACTACGTGTTGTTTTATAATTTTTAATATTTTTAAAAAAGAACAAACTGAAGCTCATTGTATATTATCGACATCTTCTTTCTCCTTTTCCCTATCATCATCTTCTTCGTCCATCTTCTTCAATTATTAATTAACCTAACTAATTGATAACGTTTATTGGCAAACAAACCTAAAATTCTAATGAAATGAATCAATTAATATTGTTATCTCATCAAACTCACGATTTCACTTCTAAGATTTTAACTTTGTGGGGGGGGGGGGGGGGGGGGGGGGGGGGGGGGGGGGGGGGGGGGGGGGGGGGGGGGGGGGGGGGGGGGGGGGGGGGGGGGGGGGGGGGGGGGGGTGTGGGGGGGGGGGGGGGGGGGGGGGGGGGGGGAAAGATTTTTTTAACTATGGATCTATTCAGGAGATATGGTGGTTCTCGAAAGAGTTTGAACAAGATCTACAATCGCATTGTGATGATGAATTTTCTGAAAGTTGAAGCTTTGAATTGGTAAAACTTTGTCCCTGATGCTAAAGACGGATGAGATATCCAATTACAGTAACACCAAATATAGTTTAAGTTGTATTTAGGCTTGCGTTTATTACTTTAATGTTTTGGGCATTTGTATTTGGGTGTTACTTCTGTATCATATCTATCATATGGCTTACTAATAAAACTATATCTAAATATAGTGTGAAGTTTGAAAGTTTGAGATATACATATAAGTGTGACTAATGTTTAGGTATGATAATGTTAATGTTTACATATTTAAAGCAAAGATATGAGAAAAGGTAAATAATCCAGAAAATTATGTTTTCTATATATTGAAATTAAATAATTTTGTATACTTTGACAAAGAGAGAGTGCACCAAATTTTAATTAATTATCAAAAGAATGAGTATTTTTTAATCAAGTTATTGTATACTTATGAATAAATATTTGAAAGTGTATTAAGTTTTTGAAAGCAAATATATTATGTTTAAAGGTATCAGAGATCTGATCGAAAAAGTTGCCAACCGCCTAAATCTCGACCAGTGACTATGATTCAATAGATGAAAGAAACGCTGATATGATTTGGAGAATGAGAGGAATTGCGACATTGTGAAGCCATTTTCGTAGTTGCTAGACTTGTTTCTAGCATATGTGAGAGAAGAAGAACTGAAGAAAAATAAATTTATAAGATCTGAGGTCAATTAAATACGAGCTTCAAACATTTGACATGGTTATTTGGTTTCTTTCGATATATTTTGTAGCTTTTTTAATTTCTAGAGCTCAAGGTAGCAATCTGGTCAATATATAAACTTAAGCTATAGTAAATATGTAAGCTAATGTGAATTTTTGTTTCATTTGTGGTTTTTTACTAAATATTTTTTTAATGCTAAAGAAATATTAATGTTAAAATAATTATTTTAGTTAGTGTAAGAAAAACATGCATTAAAAGTTTCATAATTAAAAATATGAATATAACTTGCGAGTAGAAAAATTTATGATCATAAGTAAACTTATAATAGTAAAATGTGTTTTTTAAGATTTGGTTGAAAAATACGATTTCTCGATTTTACCAGAAAATATGATTTTACCGGTTTAGAAAAAAAATACAATTTTTTCAGGTTTCGTTAGAAAAGCATAATTTGTGGTTTTTTTTGAAAAATATAATTTTAGGTTTTTTATTATTTTTAAATTTAAGAGTATTTTAGTCATTTGTCATTTTAAACTGAAACATCTCCATCAAGATGGTACAATTTGGTCTATTCAGATAATTCTCATAAATTTATCTAAATCTTGAAAAATCATCTAGATAATTCATCTAAATATTTTTTGATTTTGTTACAAAACAAACAAAATTTTCATTTTTATTTCAAATGAACCATATAGATGGAAAAATAAATAGGGTCTAAATCCAAAACTTATGCTAAAAAAAAAAATATAATATTTATTTATACTGTAAAAAATATTTTTTTTATTTTAAAAATATATAAAATTTAGAATAATATCCCGCAGCATAGCGCAGGTAAATACCTAGTCAACACAACAATAACCCATAAGTCTCTCCATGGCTTGACACATCAGCATTTTCAAGCTTTTAGGAGATGACACTTCAGCAAAAAAAAAAAACCAATAAAAACACTTCATTAATACAAGTCATCAATTTATTTTAACTTTTAAATTTAAACCCATTAAAAACTCAAATATTTTTTTATTGTTAATTTTAGTTTTATTTTTTGGTCAAGCCCAAACCCAAATAATAAATAACAGCAAATAAAAAAAAATTGTTTTATTTTTTTTAACAAACCCAAATAATAAATAACAACAAATAATAAAATTAAATCTTTGTTTTATATTTTTGCCAAACTGAAACTCAAATAATAAATAACAGCAAAAAAAATTAAAATTTATAACTATGTGTTTGCTTGATAGAGATGTATATGATTGAAGAAAGTATAGACTCATCATCAACTATGTTTGCATAACAACAATGCAAAAAGCGTTATGTTATAAGAAGCTCACACATCAGCAAAAATTTGAACCAATAAAAACATAACAATAATACATATTATTAACACATTAATAAAATCAATTTACTATTTTGCTGACCCATTAAAAAGCCCAAAGTTTACAAAAAAAAAATAGAAGGCGAAAGCAAATGAGGAGAAACTCAGACCACCACATCTTGGAGATTCGCATTTCCACTGGTTACCGAGAACAAATTTTCTTGGGTTTGGCGGAAATAGAGAATTTCTTGGTTTTGGTAGAAAAATGTGATTTTTAGTTTTGGTAGGAAAACATAGTTTCTCGGTTATGGCAGAAAAAAGCGAATTCTTGGGTTTGGTGGCAAAATGTGAATTTTTGGTTTTAGTGAGAAATAAAAAATTTATTTTGATGAGAAAATGTGAGAGAAATGCAACTTTTCAATTTTGACGAAAAATACGATTTCTCAGTTTTGATAGAAAATGCAATTTTTCGGCTTTTGATGGATAATGTAATTTCTTGATTTTTGCAGAAAATTGTAATTTGACAATTTTGGCAGAAAATGCAATTTATAGGGTTGATAGAAAAGTAAAATTTCTTGATTTTGGCGGGAATAAACAATTTATTGGTTTTGATGGGAAATGCAAATTTTCAGTTTTTGACATATAATTTGATTTTTGGTTTTCGAGGAAAAATATGATTTCTTAGTTTTCGTGGGAAACGCAATTTCTCAGGAGATAATGCAATTTTTAGTTTTTGCGGAAAATTGTAGTTTATCGGTTTTGGTAGGAAGGCGTGATTCTTGATTTGACGAGAAAAATATTTTTTTCTTGTTTTGGTTCTCGATTTTTGCGGGAAAATATTTTTTTTGGTTTTGATGGAAAAATACTGTTTTTTGTTTTTGCAAGAAGATGAAATTTTTTGGTTTTGGTGAAAAAACTTAATTTCTCTGTTTTGACGGAAAAACACAGGTTCTCGCGGGAAAATGTGATTTTTTGGTTTTTGAGGGAAAATGCAATTTCTTTGTTTTGGTAGGAAAATGAAATTTCAGGTTTGACGAGAAAATGATTTCTTTTTGGTTTTGGCGGGAATAAGCGATTTCTCAGTTTCGTGGGAAATAATTTTTTTTTTTTATCGGAAAATGTAATTTTTCGGTTTTTGTAAAAAGATAAAATTTCTCTGTGTTAAATTTTCAAGTTATAATATGTTTATAGTAACCAAATTTGAATTATTTAACTTCAACTAAATTGATATTTCAAGAGTTCAAATAGAACTTTCTATTTAGTTCTAAAGTAATAGTAATGATTTTGATATGAATATTATTGATTATAGTTTGATAGTTTTAGAAACATATGTCTATAATAAATATTTGATAAACAAATAAATTTTATAATTTAAAATAATCATATTAATTAATATTTTTTTAAATGGCAATTTGCTTTATATAAGCTCAAAGGAGGATCAAGTAGCAATTTAGTAGAAAAAATAAATTACATCTACCATTAGCTTGAAGGTACTTAAAAATGTATTATTTTATTCTTACATATACATTTATAGATAGTTAGCTAAACAAATTTGATAGTAGATTATAATTTTAAAAAATAAAAAATATATAATGTTTATTCAGATTTAAAACATATAAATACATAACTTAAGCTAATAAAAAATAAATATAATATTCATTTAAAAAATATAAATAATTTTATTATATTAAAAATATATACAAATCTAGAAAAATATCCCACAGCGTAGCGCGGTTAAATACTTAGATTTAAATACTTTTACAAGCGACCCAAATGACACACACAAAAAAAAAAAAATCAAACAATGATATTAAGAGATCTGTCTAATTTTTTTTAAAAAAAACTGTTATTCACTTATTTAAACTATGCTAATGATACACGTTATATTATTATTCAAAGGCTGTCCAATTTAAAAATGCTCTTTTGTCTTCATTGTCAAAAGTAAGCTCTTTCAATTATTATTGTAAGAAGAAGATATATTAAGCTTTGCTAAGGGGTTTTATAGAGGGTTCACGTTTTTCTGCAAGAGACTAACTAATTGATATAAAGACTTAAAGAGATTAAGCTATCTCCATAGAATCATTTTATGATTCGATCATGCCGATTTTGATAATTCAAGTCTACTAAGATAATGCTTTTTGTCTTGCTGTCTCATTAATTTTTTTAATCAGAGTATTCAATAAATTATTTTGATTCCTTTGTACTCAATATAAACATAACGGCGTGTGTGTTTTCCCTTCACGAAAAAAGTTCTAAATCTTTAGTTTTCTGCAGATCAACTAAAGATGATGGAGAAGAAGCTACTCGTTGCATTGTCCATCATCTTGAACCTCGTATTCACAATTCACATTCTTTACAACAACTCAACTGCATGGAATCCGACGTGGACCAATAGAGCCGCTGTGGAAGCAGAGGGTGCAGCCTCTGTCTCATGCTCAGGCCATGGAAGAGCTTACGTGGACAGTTTTGGTGTTCTTGACGGCAACAAACCTTCTTGTGAATGCAACAACTGTTACACCGGCAAAGATTGTTCCATTCTTGTCCCAGATTGTCATGTCGATGCTGACTCGTACGTTCATCAACTTTTCATCTTTCCCTTTTCGCTCTTTTGTTGGGCCTTTCAAATCCATGTCCAACTCTATATTAGTATGATATTGTTAGTTTTGGGCCAAAATTTGTTTTTTTTTTGTTTTTGCTCTTCTCAGAAAAAGTCATCTACTAATTAGAGTTGGACAGTTTATTTATATATTAAACCTTATTGTCTAAACTTAGAATGTGGGAGTTATATTGATATCCTAACATTCTTTATGACTAAGCTATTGTTTTTAAAGCTTTGGATTGAGTTTATATTTTCTTGTTTTGTTTTGTTGGGTTCTCAAGAGGAGACCCTTTGTTCTTAGAGCCATTCTGGATGCAAAACGCTGAGGGAAGTGCGGTTCTTGAGTCAGGATGGCACAGGATGAGTTATCTTTTTCACAAAGATGGCTCATATGTGTCTGCAGAGCTAGAAAAGATCATCAGGAAGCTACATAATGTAGTTGGAAACGCAGTAACGGATAAAAGATTCATAATCTTCGGAACGGGAGCTACGCAATTGATTGCAGCCTCTGTTCACGCCTTGTCTTTGACAAACTCATCATCATCACCTGCAAGACTCTTGGCTTCTGTTCCATATTACGCTGTAAGGAAGTTCTGATATGGATTTTTGTAAAGAAACTTATTGGTGTGATTTTGATCAATCTGTTGTGTGCAGACGTACAAGGAGCAAGCAGAGTTCTTTAATTCTTCAAATTTTAAGTTTGAAGGAGATGCGTCTGCATGGAAGAAGAGCAAGGGGAATGATAATATCACAAAAGTTATAGAAGTAGTGACATCTCCGAGTAATCCAGATGGGAAGTTGAAAAGAGCGGTTCTTGATGGACCTAACGTGAAAACAATTCATGATTGTGCGTATTATTGGCCTCATTTCTCACCTACTACACATCAAGTTGATGAAGACTTGAGCTTGTTTAGTCTTTCCAAGGCTACAGGTCATGCTGGCTCAAGATTCGGGTGATTACTTGTACTTTAAGTAAAGCTTTGGATTGGGTTATAACAACAACTCACAAGTGTTTTTGTTGTTGTTGTTGCAGATGGGCATTAGTAAAGGACAAATATATTTATGAAAACATGAAAAGATACATATATCTAAGTAGTATGGGAGTTTCAAGAGACACACAGCTTCATGTTCTTCAGTTGCTTAAAGTAGTAGTTGGTGGTGGAGGCGAGGAGATGTTTCATTTTGGTCACGAAACATTGAAGAAGAGATGGGAGATATTGAACAAGATCTTTTCCATGTCCACACGTTTCTCATTACAGACAATCAAACCTGAGTACTGCAACTATTTTAAGAAAGTCAGAGACTTTACTCCTTGTAAGTTTTTACTTCTTGTGCAAGAAAGCTGATACTTTGTTCTGTTTTTGTTGTATAACTTGTTTAATTTTTATTTGAAAGCTTATGCATGGGTGAAGTGTGAGAGATTAGAAGACACAAACTGTTATGAGATTTTCAGACAGGCGAAGATAACAGGACGTGATGGCAAATTGTTTGGAACAGAGGAAAGATTTGTTCGATTGAGTCTTATCAGATCACAAGACGACTTTGATCAGCTTATTGATACGTTGAAGAAGTTTGTCTCCCAAGAAGTTGTAGGAACTGATTCTATATGAGAACTTGATGCTGTGATCAAATGTGTTCAGCTCAATCGTATGTAAGTAAATGTATTACTATTACTTAATCTAAACATAAATTATGCTTTATGTTTATTATTTAAAGACCGTCCAATTTAAAAAATACTCTCCTCCCCATTGTCGAAAAGTCAACATCAACTTTAGCACATTTCAATTATTGTTGTCAAAATTTATCCAGTTATGCACTCGCACAGAACCCTCCAGTTAGCAACGAGATAAATTTTTTTTTTTTTTAATTCTCAAATATGTTTTTGTTTTTCGTTTTTTTCTACCAATATGTTTCTTTTTATTGGAAAAAAACTTTCAAATATGTTAATCTATGATTAGTTTTACAAACGAGAGAACTGTTTGTCCCAGCAAAAGAATACATAAGTTAATACAAAAGATAAAAAGATATAAACAATCTCTCACTGTGCAAGATGATTTTCAGTGCTTTCTCAATCTCGGGAATGACGACTAGAGGCGGCTTTTCTAATTGGTCCAGAGACTCTTATACTGTCTTCGAAGAAATTGTAGACTATTATAGGTGAATATCCGAGTATATCAGATATCTATATATTATGTAAATATTCCATATTTTACGGGGGGACCTCATTAGCTTTTAGGTTAATTGCCTTATATATATATTCATGCCGTCTAACCAAAAGATCAATACAAGAAATCCTTTACACACATCTTAGGTTTCTTGACATGGTATCAGAGCTTTAAACACAAATTTTCTTGATTCTATTGTCGTTTTTTTTTAAATTCTTACTCTTTCTTTCAATTGACCTTCTCCTCTTTCTATTCTAAAACATTAAGACCATTTTCCATTACCAACGATGACTCAAGACGGAGAACACGGAGACTTATCAGCTTCAACAGGAAAGTCTTCTACGACGAAACTTTCTTCATCACGCGTTGAAGTTCATAGGCGAACGATCTCGCCATATGATCTCTCTTCAAGCGACAATCCAGGATCTTTGATTTCTCAGCCATTACTTAAAGGGCCTAACTACAATGAATGGTCTGGTAACTTGCGGATGGCGCTTAAAGCACGTAAGAAGTTTGGGTTTGTCGATGGTACAATTCCTCACCCTGGTGTTGATTCTGATGACTTGGAAGATTGGATGACCAACAATGCTTTGGTTTTATCCTGGATTAAACTTACCATCACTGATACTGTCCGCTCAAATTTCTCTCATCTTGAGATTGCGAGTGACTACTGGGAGCATATACGTCGTCGGTACTCAGTAAATAATGGACAGCGAGTTCAGCGGATCAAAGCTGAATTAGCCACTTGCCGACAACATGGGTTGTCAATTGAAGCTTACTATGGAAAATTGATGCAACTTTGGACTGCTTTGTCTCAATACCGTCAGACAAAGACTTGTGGATGTCCTCTTGGTGCCGAGCTTGAACGAGAACGTGAAGAAGATCGCTTTCACGAGTTCCTTAAAGGACTTGACGAATCACTATATGGTTCTGTCAAATCTAACCTGCTTTCTCGCAATCCCTTACCCTCTCTGGACGAGGCTTATAGTGCTTTATTGCAAGATGAAGACTCCAAGCATACCTCTCGAGTACTTGACGAAAGGAGTGAAACAATGGCTCATTCAGTTCGCACTGGCTTTACTCCTACGTCACCCCCGTCCTCCTCTCGCTCCGTTACGCTTTCTCGAGAAGAGCGCATGAAACTTCTCTGTAGCAGTTGTGGCCGTAAAGGTCACCTTGCCATAAACTGTTTTCATACGCTTGGTTACCCAGAGTGGTGGGGAGATAGACCATGGGGGAAGCTTACTTCAAACGGAAACTCTTCCAGCGCTACACCCGCTCGAGCTCTATCTACACAGGTGGTCGCTTCATCTCCGCCAGTTGCTGCAGCCGTCACCACTTCTGATCGTATGGGGCTCAGCGGGCTTAACGACGAACAGTGGCGCACTCTAGTTACGCTCCTCATTGAACAAAAACAATCCGGATCTCCCTTATTAAGCGGTATGTTCTTCTTGGGCTGTTGGATTATTGATACTGGTGCTACAAATCACATGACAGGGTCTCTTCAATTTCTCTCTGCAATTCGAGAAGTAGCTCCTCTCCCTGTAAAATTACCGGATGGAAGAATTACTTTGGCTACACGACAGGGAACTGTTGTTCTGAATTCTTCTCTTACACTTCAGGACGTGTTATTTGTTGATGGGTTGCAGTGTCATTTAGTTTCTGTTTCTCAGTTGACGCCCCAGCGCGTTTGCGTGTTTCAAATCACTGATCGGATTTGTTTGATTTAGGACCGCATTACCAAGATGCTGATTGGAGTGGCTGAACAACAATCAGGGCTGTATTTTTTCCGAGGACTGGAGTTTGCAGGAGCTGTACATCAACCAGATCGTGTATCGCGAGATGTTTGGCATCACCGCTTAGGCCATCCGTCCTCTCGAGTTTTGGATTTGCTACCTATTAAAGATTTCTCTACTACTAGTGTTTTATCATCTACAGCGTGTGAGATTTGTATACGCGCTAAACAATCTCGTTGTTCTTTTTCTACAAGTTTTAATAAGATAACAACCTTATTTGAATTGGTGCATTGCGATGTTTGGGGACTGTATAGAACAGTCTCTCGTTGTGGCTCTCGCTACTTCCTTACGATTATTGAAGATTATTCTCGCAGCGTTTGGTTATACTTACTCCCTACAAAGCATGATGTTTCTCGTACACTTCAAAATTTCATTGCTTTTATTGAGCAACAATTTGCAACTCATGTCAAAGCTATTCGTAGTGATAACGGTACAGAATTTCTTTGCATGACTTCGTTTTTTGCGACAAAGGCATTCACCATGAGACATCGTGTGTTGGTACACCACAACAGAATGGACGAGCAGAACGCAAGCATCAACATATTCTCAACGTCGCTTGCGCGTTGCGATTTCAGGCCTCTTTACCCATTGAGTTTTGGGGCGAGTGCATCTTAACTGCGGCCTACTTAATAAATCGAACTCCGACACCTCTTCTTGATGGTTAAACACCGTTCGAGCGCCTCTACAAACGTCTCCCTCCGCTTGTTCATCTCCGAGTGTTTGGATGCTTGTGCTATGCTCACAATCAAAATCACAAAAGTGGCAAGTTTGCTACTCGAAGCATTAAAGGTATCTTTATGGGCTATCCTTACGGCAAGAAAGGCTGGCGAGTCCTAAATCCAGACACAGGAAAATATTTATTTCTCGGGATATTGTGTTTTGCGAGTCGTTGTTTCCTTATTCATCTTCTCTCCTTCACAGCTCCGAGTCAGAGGGGTCATTGCCACTTTCCACAACGCCTCCTCCAGCTGATATATCGCCTGACTTGCCTTCTACCGAGCTTGTTTCAGAGACACAAGATTCTCCTTCCTCTGTTCCAGACCTTCTACAGGATACTATTATCGACTCTGTTTCTCCTGCACAAGATCTTCTTACCGACTCTGTTTCCTCTCCTACGCATTCACCGCTGTCTGCTCCAGAGGATGATTCTTCTCCATCTACCCCTACAGAGCTCTGTACGTCACCACCTGTCACATCATCAACATCCCTTGACTCTACTTCATCACTTGTTGTTGCTTCAGAGTTACTTGATGATGATGTTCCTCACGACAAAGGATATTTTGATGTTGATCTGGACTTACAGCGTGTTGATCGTCCTAAACAAAAGCCAGCTAAGTTCAAGGATTTTGTTTTTCAAACCATTGCTCTGATTCTGTCTAGCCCGGAAACGGTCCCATACTCCATTGAATATTACGTTGATTGTTCACGTTTCTCTGCGAATCATTGCCAATTTCTTGCTGCGTTGTCTTCACTTACAGAACCACGCTCTTACAAAGAAGTCATTCTAGATGAGGAATGGCGTAATGCGGTTCAGGCTGAACTAGATTCTCTTACATTACTTGGTACCTGGACCATTGCAGATCTCCCTCCTGGCAAACATGCGCTTGGCAGCAAATGGGTTTTCAAATTAAAATTTCATTCTGATGGTACACTCGAACGTCATAAAGCGAGATTAGTTGTACTTGGAAACCATCAGGTTGAAGGTGATGACTATGATGAGACATTTGCCCCAGTTGCCAAGATGACCACTGGTCGCACCTTCTTACAAATAGCAGCTTCGCGAAACTGGGAAATCCATCAGATGGATGTTCATAACGCATTTCTTCATGGCGATTTGAAGGAAGAAGTTTACATGCGCCTTCCTCCTGGTCTTCGTGGTCCTGATAGGAACAAAGTTTGCAGGTTACATAAATCGCTATACGGCTTACGACAGGCTCCTCGCTGCTGGTTCGAAAAGCTTACTTCTGCCTTACGTCGCTACGGGTTCAGTCAAGCTATACCCGATTATTCTCTGTTCAACTTGGACAAAGGTACTGATCATCTTCAAGTTATTGTTTATGTTGATGATCTGATTATCTCTGGCAGTTCTTTATCTATCATTACCTCTTTCAAGACATATTTGAGTCGATGCTTCCATATGAAGGATTTGGGTATTTCAAAATACTTTCTTGGTCTTGAACTTGCTCGCAATCCTACAGGTATCTATCTGTCTCAGCGAAAGTACGCATTGGACATTATCCAAGAGGCTGGGTTACTCGCTGCTAAACCCGCTACATTTCCAGTGGAACAGAACCACAAGTTGGCCCTTGACAACGGTCCCGATTACCCTCATGTTGCTGGTGATCGTCGTCTTATTGGGCACCTGATTTATCTCGCATGTACATGTCCGGATCTTGCTTACTCTGTTCATTTGCTTTCACAGTTTATGCAGAAACCAAAACAGGCTCAGTGGGATGCTGCTCTCCGTGTTGTACGCTATTTGAAAGGCAATCCGGGTCAAGGCATACTTTTGCGTGCTCATACAGAACTTAAGCTCGTCGCTTGGTGTGATTCCGACTGGTCCGGCTGCCCTATTACACGACGCTCCCTTACAGGGTGGTTTATTCAGTTGGGCGGTTCTCCAATATCATGGAAAACTCAGAAACAGAAACAGGTCTCCCGTTCCAGTGCTGAAGCAGAATACCGTGTGATGTCCCTCACGGTTCAGGAACTTATTTGGATCAAGAACTTGCTCTCTGCTTTCGGCATTACTCATTCTACACCTATGGCCTTGCATTGTGATAGTAAACCTGCTCTCCATTTGGCTGCCAATCCCGTTTTTCATGTACGGACGAAACATGTCGAAAATGATTGCCACTTTATCCGTGATGAGATCGTCACTGGCAACATCGTTACTCGTCACGTCTCTACACATACTCAGTTGGCGGACATTTTTACGAAGGCACTCGGACATCGTGCGTTTGCAGATTTCAAGTCCAAGTTGGGCGTTTGTGACCTCCACGCTCCAACTTGAGGGGAGGTGTTACAGGTGAATATCCAAGTATATTGGATATCTATACATTATGTAAATATTTCATATCTTACGGGGGGACCTCATTAACTTTTAGGTTAATTGCCTTGTGTATATATTCACGCCGTCTAACCAAAAGATCAATACAAGAAATCTTTTACACACATCTTAGATTTCTTGACATAGACACTTTTTTGTGAGGTTTGAGGGCGGCCTTGAAGGAAATTGCTTGTGGCAACTACGATGAGAATTTCAGTTTCAAGGAATTGCAAATGTAAATTTCCAAGTATTAGTTTTCAGAATCAGTGTTTCTTCTCAGAAATCAGCCGTTTGGTTCGAGTGTTTGCCTAACCTCTATTTTTTGATCTTTTTAGTTTCCATTTGTAACTTAGACTTTGTTTTGGGTTTTTTTTGGATCGTTCTGCTTTCTATATTGTCTCTTTACCAAAGATCAAAATGATATAAATTTTTTTTTACACTTTACCAAAAAAAAAAGCAATCATTTAAACAAAATGATTAATGTATGTCCACTTTGATAAAGTCTATAATATAATGATTTGTGTTTGTACGAGTAAGATAACAAGTTGAGCTGTCTCAGTCGATTCTTTATCAAAATATTCAATATTCAACCTTAATAGTGTATGTGTTTCCCTTCTGTTTATACATTACCACACAAAAAAAGTTATTTGTCGGTCAACTTAAGATAATGAACAAGCTACTCGTTGCAGGATCGATCATCTTGAATCTCGTATTCACAATTCATTTTCTTTACAATAAATCAACCACGTGGAATCCGACTTGGACCAACAGAGCCGCCGTGGAAGCAGAGGAAGTAGCCTCTGTTTCATGCTCAGGCCATGGAAGAGCTTACGTGGACGGTCTTGGTGTTCTTGACGGCAACAAACCTTCTTGTGAATGCAATAACTGCTACACAGGCAACGATTGCTCCATTCTTGTCTCAGATTGTCATGTCGATGCTGACTCGTATGCATCAAAATTTTGATCTCTCTCCCTTTTAGATCTTATGACATAAACTTTGAATTAAGTTTTTATTTTCTTGATTTATGGGTTTTGAAGAGGAGACCCTTTGTTCTTGGAGTCATTCTGGATGCGAAACGCAGAGGGAAGTGCGGTTCTTGAATCAGGATGGCACAGGATGAGTTATCATTATCAGAAGTTGGCTCATTTGTGTCTGCAGAGCTCGAAAGGATCATCAAGAAGCTGCACAATGTAGTGGGAAACGCAGTTACAGATAATAGATTCGTAATCTTTGGAACCGGAGCTACGCAATTGATTGCAGCCTCTATTCACGCCTTGTCTCAGACTAACTCATCAACATCACCTGCAAGACTTTTGGCTTCTGTTCCATATTACGCTGTAAGAAAGCTCTGTTTATGTCTTTATGTAAACAAACTTATCGGTAAGGTTTTTGATCAGTCTCTTGTGTGTAGCTGTACAAGGTTCAAGTGGAGTTCTTTCATTGTGTAAAGGTCAAGTTTGAAGGAGATGCGTCTGTGTGGAAGAAGAGTGAGCACAATGATAATATCACACAAGTTATAGAGATAGTGACATCTCCTAATAATCCAGATGGGAAGCTGGAAAGAGCGGTGCTTGATGGTCCTAATGTGAAAACCATTCATGATTATGCGTATTACTGGCCTTATTTCTCACCTATAACTGTTCCAGCTGATGAAGATTTGAGTTTGTTTAGTCTCTCCAAGACTACAGGTCATGCTGGCTCTAGATTCGGGTGATTTGCTTTTGCTCTCTAAACAAAGCTTTGTATTGGATCATAAGATTCATAACAACAAAAACTCATAAGTGTTTTGTTGTTGTTGTTGCAGATGGGCATTAGTAAAGGACAAAGATGTTTATGAACGAATGAAAAATTACATCACTCTAAGTAGTATGGGAGTTTCAAGAGAAACACAGCTTCGTGTGCTTCAGTTGCTCAAAGTAGTAGTTGGTGATGGAGGCGATGAGATTTTTCATTTTGGTTATGAAACATTGAAGAAGAGATGGGAGATGATGAACAAGATCTTTTCCATGTCCACGCGTTTCTCGTTGCAGACAATCAAACCTGAGTATTGCAACTATTTCAAGAAAGTCAGAGACTTTACTCCTTGCAAGTTTTTCTTCTAATGCAAGAAAGATGAGATTTAGGTCAAAAAATCTATTTTGGTCTCGCACGGATAATAACTTGTTTGATTTTCATTTGAAAGCTTATGCGTGGGTGAAGTGTGAGAGATCAGAAGACACAAACTGTTATGAGATTTTCAGAGCGGCGAAGATAACAGGTCGTGATGGCAAAGTGTTTGGATCAGAGGGAAGTTTTGTGCGACTGAGTCTCATTAGATCACAAGACGACTTTGATCAACTTATTGGTATGTTGAAGAAATTAGTCTCCCACGAAGTTGTAGGAGCTGTTTCCATCTGACAACTTGTTGTTGTCAACAAATGTTTTCAATCTCAATCATATGTAAGTAAAGTACATGGGTCACTGACTCACTGTGTGATGAAGCTTACGTTATGCTTATTCAATGAAAACTTTTGTAATTTTGTGAATGAATTATTTTGTTTATGAAACCAATTCAATTCAACCATATGTGTCTCCCCAGCTAGAGAGTAAGTGTACAAAGAACAAATGTAGCTTTGTTAATTATGCTCACCTCATACTAGATTTTCTTTTGTTTTTGGATGTTTTTATTATCATGTGTGAAGTTGACTTAACTTAATTTCTCTGTTTTTTATTAATATAATTTGACTTCTTAATTGTTTATAACAAAATAATTATGGATATATTGTTATACATCAAGGCTAAGAAACTCTTTTGTTTTCTCAAGCTCTCTCTGAATAGAGAATGTGCTTTGTTTTTAGATTATTGTTTTTAATGATTTTTTAAATTCAAAAATATCTAATTTTTGTAATCTTAGTATTTATTTGTTTGACACTATGTAAATATTTTTTGTTGATCTATTGAATTTTATATTTCAACAAAAACATACCACATATATATAATTGGCATGGATGACACTTTTTAAAGAACTAAATTAAGTATATAACAAATTACTAAAGTAAACACCAAAAGCAACACAATAAAAATCAGTATGTCATATTTAGATTGTTAGAGCATAAATATCCCTAAAATCTTTTTATTATTGATAATATTAGTGTGCTTTTATTTCAAGAATATAAATTTTTACTTTTATTAGTGAGATACCAATTAAAATTTGTTATTAATAGAATATTAATATTTATAATACACTATAATATTTTTAGATTAGTTTAATTTGAGAAGTTAATGTTTAACTTTTATTTTGTTTATTGAATTTCTCTCAAAATCATTATTTTAGCATGTTTATTTTTATTTTCTCTTTTTTGTTATAATATGGTTCATCTATTAAAGTATTAAAGTGAGTACATGAAGGCCAGCACATTGCAAATGAACAAAAGCAAAAAATATTAAACAACTTGAACAAGCACAGTAATCATTAAACAAATTCTCCTACACATGCTTGTAGAAAACCAAGTATGCTTGCTTCTCCGTGCAAAACCTGTTCTTTTATTTTTTCTTGCTCACTCTAACTTCTTTAGATTTTTTAGTTTCAGGTGGTTTGGCGATCAGTATTCAATTGTTTGTTAACTCTTGGATGAAGAAGCTCTCAGTTCAGAATTGTCAACCTCTATTCCAACAAGTGAATGAAAGAATAACATCTTGGACTATCAGATCTCTGTCATTTGTAGGACGTTTACAGCTGCTAAAAACTTTTATTGCTAAAATCACTAACTTCTGCTGTTCATCATTTGTGATTTCCAAAAGTTGCATCTCCAAAATGAACTCTTTATGTGGAGCTTACAAATGGAAAGGGACATTAGAGGGACATCATTCTGCATGAGTTTTATGAGATACGGTAACACTATCTAATGAGGAAGGTGGTTTGAGGTTTTGGGATCTTACGAGTTGGACAAGGCAACGATTTTGAGTGTAATCTGGATGTTGTTTTTCGCTTCGGCTCAATTTAGGTAACATGGTACAGAACGGAGTTCCTGCATGCAGATCTCACAGCTCGTTCTGGACATTAAAACCTGGCAGAAACTACTCATGGCTAGCGAATAAGCTAATCAAAATCAGAGAGGTAGCTTACGATTGGATCAAGCTACGAGTGGGTAATGGTCAATCTTCCTGCTTCTGGACAGATAATTGGTCTCCTTATGGAAGCTTGAAGAGATTCCTCTCTACGGGCAGAACATCAAGACTCAGGATCCCTCAAAATGCAACCTTGAATCAACTATGCAACCATGGTAATTGGACTCTGCTGCCAGCTGGTTCTGAAAATCAGGTTCTCTTGCAAGCTTATCTCTCCATTCTAACTCTCTCGTCTGAGGAGGACTACTATGAATGAGAAGTTGAAAATAAAATAAGTACAAGGTACAACACTAGACATATTTACAACTTGCTGAAGAATCATAGACAAATAGTTCCTTGGAGTCGAATTGTCTGGATTAAAGGAGGTATTCCGAAACATTCCTTTCTCACTTGGTTATTCGTTTGGGACAGATGCCTTACAAAATCAAGGATCATCAATTGGGGATTAGCTGCAGATCCGACATGTTTGTTGTGTAAGTCGAACAGTGAGAGTAGGGATCACTTAATTTTTGACTGCAGTTTCAGCTGGCAACTGTGGAGAAGAATTGCTGATCGATGCCAAATAACACCATCTCGCTCGTGGGTAAAACAATCGCTGGTATGCAAAATCAATCTGGTACTCGGGTGAAAAAACAACTGGTGCTTCTGTCTTGGCAATGCACGATCCACACCATTTGGACAGAGAGGAATCACCGTCTCCACAGACAGACTTTCAGATCAACGGACTCTCTTCTTCATTTGATAGACTCCGCGATCCGTAATAAAATCTCAAATTACAGAAAAATCAACACGATCCTTGCCTCTTATATGCTTCAGATATGGCTCTCCACTGAGCTTGGCTACCCCTGCTGTTGCTTTTGACCACGGCTGAACGATTTTTACTCGACAAAACCAACGGACTTCCTCCATCGCGTTTAGTAATATAGTAAACCGTTAAAAAAAAAAAAAAAAAAATCAACGCTGTAATTTTAGAATGTCTTTCCTACAAACTGAGAACTCAACATTGTAGAGCTGCCATGTCAATAAATGAAAAAACTGGAACTACCAATAGAAATATTTCATTTTTACAAGTCACATTTTATATGGGATTCGACATTTGATTTGGTTGGGCCTTAACAAAACGTTTCAGTTGGTGACAATCTTTGGAGAGGTCCGGCGAATGTAAGAGTAACAGAGGTTCGGCGCTTTCCACCGGAATCTGGATATACGCTATTGACATCTCGCAGCACTGCCCATGAGTACTCAATCCCGTCAAAAAACAGAATTCCGACGATTCCCACCAGAATCTCGGCATCTTCTACCTGCATCTCGCAGCGCTGCGGCATTACCTCATAAAGACTTCTTCCTCAAATTCGGTTGCAGTATGCCAATTTCAGTTTAAGCTCATAAGATGGTTTATTATTGATTCTTAAGTGTTCTTCTGGTAACAGATGAGTGTCAATGATTATTTCAAGGTTAGATTTGCATGATAACTGTTAAAATTTTGGAGTTTCTTTTTCAAAAATCTGAAAGATGGCTACGTTTCTAGTTTCTTTTTCAAAAATTTTGAAGTTTTTATAGTTTGCATATATTTTTGTTTGTTCGCTTAATAATGTTTGGAGTACATTCTCCTCACTGTTGGATCATATACTAAAGTTTCTTAGTTCGTACATGTTTCTACCAGACGAGAAGTGTCTGAATCTGAGCAATGGAATGCGTGTGGAGGACCACTGGTATCTCTTCCATCATCTGACATCCAGTTTGCTTAGGGGCTGTTCGTTTGGTCATCCAGATGGATCATCTGAATAGAGATGAGAATTGATGTTCATTTATTGTAAAAAAACGAGTATCATTTAAATGATCCATCTGGATGAGTTTTTAAAATTTAAGCTAAATTCATAAATTCATCCAACTGAATCGAATTGGATCAGTTGATTGGACATAGTTATCATGCAAATTGGTAAATTATTAAAATAACCTTAAATGCAACAAAAATTTACAAAAGAAAAACCTATATCTAATTTACCACTCTCGCTCACCATTCTCGACTCTTTTAATGAAGATCTCTGTTTGTGAATCATGCGTTTTTTTTTAATGCAGATCTCTTTTTGTGATTGCTACTTCTCTGTTTTGTGTTTGCTACTTCTCTGTTGTTGAGAACCGGATTTCGTTTACTCTTTTGTAGCTGATAATGGTCCAAGATGTTGCTGTAGTGTTGATAATGGCTCAAGATGCTCAAGATCTTTTGGCAATATAGTGAGGAATTTACTCTTTTGTAGTGCTGTTTGTGAGCATAATGGCTCAAGATGTCACGATGGTTATGTTTTTGGATACGTGTTAAATTAAAAAAAGTATAACATTGTGATTTCAGTTTTTTTTTAGATTTGTTAAACTTTAAGATATAGTATAACTTTTCTTTTTTTTGACTTTTAGATATATTATACCAAAATTGTTAATCAAAATCAAATTACAAATGCAGATTTGAATCTCAATTTTTAGATTTATATGAAACCGTTAATTAAAATTAATTTTTAAATGTTAAAAATAATAATTTGAATATTTAGTTGTAAATTTATTTTAGAACAATGATTAGTATAGTTAATATCAAAATAATATGGTTAAAAATTTAAAATATATAGTTAGATGAAAGTAAGGGCATTTTAATCATTTTTTATTAAATCCTTTCAAATGATCCATTCAAAATGAAAGCTAACTGATTAAACAAACATAGCTACATCTAGATGAATCATTCAGATGAATGACCGAAAATGAAACAAACATCATTTGAATGGACCATTTGGATAGAACATTTAAATGGATCAGTTGGATGGTTGTAACAGATAATGAAACGAACAGCCCCTTACTCTAAACAAGTTTACCAGTGGTATTCATATTTCTTCATAACATTTAATCGTGAATTTCGTTTTGTCATGTTTCACTTTATGATTTGAGATGATTGTTATATATATTGTGTGAAAGTGCAAAGAAGAATCTACTGAAAAACATAATATACAATTTAGGGATCATTGGAATGTAGAACCAAAACACAATTGCAAAAGAACCAAACTTCGAAGCCAATGAAGTTGACGATTAAATGTTACAAAGAAATTAACATATAACATCAGCATAAATTCAAATTTGTACAAACCAATCGGAATATAACATTAATACACATCAGATTTATTGTTACACATCAGCATTTTAAGTTTAAGTCAATATGCTCAATTTTCAATCTTCTCGTCTTCGGTCTTCGTTCTTCGTCCATGATTATAATTTTAATTAGTTTGCCTTTCCCATGTTGAAATCTCTTCATTATACACTTAACTTAAACAATTTTCATACTTCTCCATCTTCTTCTACGGTATAAAATACAATCTTTATCTCCTTTTTCCCAAATCCCAAATTCACTTTGTTGTTTTAGTCTTCACCTTAAAAGAGATACTATTTCCATAGAAAAAAATCAAAAATATAACAAATTTT